CCAGTTCTTACTCAACCCTGCTAATTTGTATTTGCTATAAGTGAAAAAAAATATAATAACTGAATACAATAGTAAATCGAAAGAAATCTGACATTTTACCACGATACTTTTCTGGACGTACCACTTAAGGGTTTATTCATTACGTATATATTTTCAGAACACTCAAGGAATGTATTTTCACATTTCTAAACAATAAGTGTTAATTTCAAATTAATTTCATGATACTACTTCACCACATTTCGCTCAGTACAATGCTACTCAAAAGCATAGAGCAGTAATTTTCTAATCTACAATCGAGCATTATATGAATACGACATTATATGAATTATATGAATATTATTGTGCCAAATAAAAAAATTATTTATTGTTATAAATGCTATATATTAGGAAACGCGGCACAGAAGAAAGAATAGTGTTCGTTACGTCGTATTCATATAATGCTCGATTGTAGATTAGAAAATTACTGCTCTATGCTTTTGAGTAGCATTGTACTGAGCGAAATGTGGTGAAGTAGTATCATGAAATTAATTTGAAATTAACACTTATTGTTTAGAAATGTGAAAATACATTCCTTGAGTGTTCTGAAAATATATACGTAATGAATAAACCCTTAAGTGGTACGTCCAGAAAAGTATCGTGGTAAAATGTCAGATTTCTTTCGATTTACTATTGAGCATTATATGAATCGAGCATTATATAAATTTCGATTTTAATTGATATATATATATATATATATATTCAGTATTAAGTTTCTCACAAACGAAATGAAAACTAATCGCATGAAACTTCAACTACAAATGCGTTACATTACAAGTGTGTTACTTTTAATTTTCATGTAATTTCAAGCATTTTTGGTGGAAATGAATAAACTTTTTAAGAAGTTCATTCAAGTCGAGGAGCACAAATTATCTCGATCCCAACTGACGTCGGTACAGCTCAGCTTCGCGAAGCCCCGCGTCTTCGTTCACGGAAGCCTCAAAAATCGCGCAGACGCGACTCGCGCGCGGCGCCAGCTCACACGTAGTGGCATTGACACGTGTGTGTCAATCGAGCAATTCGCGATAGCGAATCCTTTTCCCGCCGCGCGTAAATCAGGCGTTACGTCGAATTGCCGAGTGGTCGTTAATCGGACGCGCGATTAGATTTCGCGCGCGCTCGTCGTGTCGTTTGTCCTTCAATCCGGAGATGCACACAATCATAAATCGTATAATCGTAATTCCAATCAAGAGACGCGAGCTTGCAAATCAGAACTAGCAAAATTGCTGGCAAATTTACGTAACCTATTTGCCTGGATAATTGTCTATTCTTAATTCCAGAATTACATTTACGAAATAATTACTTTACTATGCAATAATATAAAATTTTTGTTACATCGATGCAATGCAACAAATTTACTTCAATGCAAAAAATTACATTCAGATTGCATTTCACAGGATATATCGCTTCAAGTAAATTATTACATTTTATAAATATAATTATTAGTCATTTCATCATTCTGTGTGATAAATGAGTGTCATATGGACCACTCACTGTTGGCGAGCTGTTGAAATCCACCAAAACATGCTTATTAACGAAACGCGGACGTGTCAAGTGTCGGCTGTCATTCGTGGGCGATTCTCGTAGAACGACGTTGATCGACCGGCACGTCGAATTTCCGATAAGGACTCTGTCGCCCAGCTGCATGGTGAGAAATTGATTGTCTCTCAGGCACGTGTATCTTGTCGCCCGGATGGCGACTTCGTCGCCAAGATCGCGCAGCTATCTCGCGAATTCGCCGCGGCCGAGCCGATGACGCGTCGAGTGTGCTCGATTCGCTCGAGTATCTCTCTTCACGTCCTGGCTCTTTTATATATCAACGGCTCTTATCTGCCAGATACCGACGAATTTGCAATCAGTCCTCACTCGAGAGACGCACACGTATGCGCTGCGTACAGTCGCAGATGAAAAAGACGTCCGTAATTTTTGGAGCGAGTTGAACAACTCCCCATCTGGTTCGATGGGAGAATGCCGTCACAAGAAGGATGAGCTCGCAAAGTCACCCCAGAAATGACGAATTATCTTTTCGTCCGCGACTGTACACGCGTACGATGTACAGGCGATACTACGAGGACGTGTGACCGCGTCGTGCTACACACAGTTGCAACGTGATGACCGTGTGGACGAATAAAAATAATTGACGACCTTATCTCGACATTTCCTCGCTTCATGCGCGACGTTCATTACGCAATTACGTTATCGGGATTCTAAGAAGTTTAAAGTCACTTTCTTATGTAACTTCATTCACGTGATATATTTTTACTTCGCCGACATTATCCTCGCCGTCGCGACTGACTTTCGGCTGGGATCACCGCGCGTTGTGCCTGTCTGCCGATTGTTCAATACGCGCAAGAGTAATGAGCTAAATGCGGCCCCGACGTACTGACGACGCGCTTGCCGATCTTAATCTCATTGGTATCGAGTCGATTGACGACGTATTTTTCGTCCTCCCGCAGCGTACTTCATCTGGCGCGACGCTGGCAGACAGGCTTACGTGAATTTGACAGCAATTTTATTAGTCGATTTGTCGCGTTCTTTACGAGTGATCCATATGGCATTCATACTTATCACACAGAATGACAAAATCAAAATAATTATTATAGAATAAAGAACAGAATAATTTGCTTGAAACAATATATTACATGAAATGTAATCTGAATGTAAGTTTTAGGAAATGTGTTGTGCTGCATCGGTGTAACAAAACTCTTATATTATTGCATGATAAAGGACCCCGCACAAAACCTATGGAAAATGGTTTTCGGTCAAATTGGCTGAAATTTTACTATGTTATAGTTTTCGCCATGCTGATAAAAAATTATCATTGCACCAAGTCCCAAAAGTCAATATTTCCCAAGATATAAAGGGTCAAAGTAGTGAAATATGGTCATCCGCAGTAGTAA